AATAACAGAAAAATCAAATAACAGTGATTAGCAGAGTAAATCATATAAAGTAAACCTACCAGGCAATAGCCACTGCCTTGGTTCAATTTCTCCATGGTGACACTTTTTGAATAAAGGATCTGGAAGGTTGTCGTGCTTATCTACGATATGACTTAAGAACGACTTGAATTTGGACCAGATAAGCCTGCCATTTCCTGAAATGCTGGAGGTGACACTCCAATAAAAATGGTTTTCGCAGGGATGTATCCATGCCTTTACTGCCTCACAGCCACTCAGTCTGGCTATCTTATTTAGAACTTTCCCAATTTCTAATATAAAGAGAATAGTRTGAGAATAATATGGATTAGCCAAATGGTGTTTTGGATTTCTCCTCACAGCACACATACATGGGCTGCTTCAAAAATATGCATATTTCCTAATTATTATATTATACACCTCTTGTGTTAGAATATGAATGCTGGATATCCCTACTTGTGTATGTTCTGCATGTACTTGTGTATGTTCTCAACAATACTCTTGATGTTTACCTTTGAACTGTTACAGCCTGAGCTGTACAGTTTTTTGGTATCTTGTTGAAATGAGTACTTAAGCCTGGTTCTCATTAGCAATGCAAGCGCAGTTAGTCTGTCATAGTTAGTTAGCCCTTATATTCAGTTAGAACAAAACATTCAGTCATCCCTAAAGTACTATCTGCACTTGAGTTGCTAGTGAGAACCAGGCTATATATCAGCAATATTATAAACACAGTGTGCTCCATATTTCTTACTTTTCTTGATATGCCACAAGTCGAAATAATGCTTGATGTCCGGGAGTCTCTCCCTCATGTGCTTTGCGATGGAAGTATGGCGATCTGTAATTATTGTGCCAATTACCAAGCCTACACCCAAAAGAAAGTCCATACATTGCTGGAATCCCATGTATTCCATGGCAGGACTATTTCCAGCTTCATTTYTCTATGTAAGAAAATCAAATAAAAATTGCTCACTTCAAATGTCACAAGTGGAAGAAAAAAATAACACAGGCAAAGTATACATTATATTTGAAAAAGACAACAAGCTTTTATACACCTAATTAAAAAACTTGCCAGGTTGAAAGCTGAGACCAATGAGTGTGAAAGGTAGTTTATATCCTAGTCATTTGGAGTGTTTACATATACAACAATTTTTTGTTGGTTAACATGAATCAGATTTCAAGAGCAAAATTCAAATGAATATGCAGGATATCAGCCTCATTTACTGTTTTGATTAATTAACCTTCTTACAACACAATAAGGTTTTTCAATTAAGTGTACAGTATATGAAAAATACATACAACATACCTGAACAAGAGCAAAGTGAATGATTGCTGCAGAACAACAGCAGTATATCGTATAGGCCCCGTACTTGGCACTATGGCCCATGCTATCATGCCTTGCATCACCACCTATGACAACAGGGTCCCCCTTCTCCACCAACATGTCCAACAACTTTTTTTGATATTTCTTCCAATGAAGAAAAATTGCAGGAAACAGCTTTTTCTGTTGATAAACAAGAAATACTATTAGTGATTTGTGATTTAAAAGTAATAATACACTATTAATAATACCTACCCTCTGATGTAAAAAGTAGGTTTTCAAAGAAAAACAGCAAATGCCCATGTGGGAAAACATCTGGAGTACTTTACTTGCTGTGCTACCAGCAACAAGAATGGCAAAACACAACAGAAAGTTTCCAGCAGGCATCTTTGTCCCTGGCATTATGGGCTGGCTATTCCAGGTACTGTCTCTCTTTGGGCACTTGGGGTTTGAACAAACAGTTCKTACTTTAGCCATCGTTCCCAAYGCCTCTGCCTCTACCAAGGGATCATCAGATTTGCATACTGGGCAGAATTTAAAAAGGAGCAGCAGCTGACTAAGGAAAACAATAAACTTTGGCTCCAGTCTCAGATTGTCACTTGTGCTGGTCCTAAAATCAAACAT